ATTTTTTCACAGTGTCAAAGCATTTTGGAACCCCTTACGTTTTTTTCATTTTGAAAGAACTTGAAAAAATTCCACATAGTCCCTGATATATTTTTTTAAGGAAATTTGAAAGAATCTTGGAAGCCTCTTGTGTTGTATTTTTTTAAAAATGTTAAAAGATCTTGGAAGTTACTGGTATTTTGTCTTTAAAAGAGTTTAAAAGAGCCTTAAAAAATTTTGTGTATGGTTTTAGGAATGTAAAAGCATCTTGGGACCTCTTATGCTTTTTAATTTTGAAAAAAAAAGAAAAAAATCTCGGGTAGTCCCTAGTATTTTCTGTAGAAACTTCCAAAAAATGGCCCCACCCACCCACCCGGTTTTCATTCTGATCGATCATTTTATTGGAAAAAAGTAGGTTGTTTTTAGGTATATTGATAAATAGTGGAATCTTGACAAAAATGTAAAATTAACCCCACCCACTTCGGCTTTTGAATTTCATTGGCTTATTTTATTTAGTCTTAGATGAAGACTGAATTCTACTCTGTCGAATGGACGAAAAAAAAATTCAAATTGGGACGCCTTACGTTTTTATTAATTTTGAAATAATTTGAAAAAATTCGTAGTGATTTCTGGTACCATTTTAAAAAAGTTTTAAAAAATTTTAGAAGCCTTGTGTTGCATTTTTTAAAGAATATTAGAAGACCTTTGGATCGTTTTATGTTTTATTAATTCTGAAAAAAATTGAAAAATTGTCGGGTCGTCTTTGGTATTTTTTTATAAAATTTGAAAGAATGTTAGATGTTCTTAATGTTTTCTCTCTTTTTTTTAGAATATGAAAAGATCTCGGGGGTCACTGGTGTTTTATCTTTAAAAGAGATCAAATCCTCAGGAGCTCCATTATATTTTTTTAAGAATGTAAAAGCATCTTGCGACTCTTTATCTTTTATTAATTTTGAAAGAATTTGAAAAAATCCCGAAAAGTCCATTTTTACAGAACGTTTGAAAGAATCTTAGGGACCCTTCGTGTTTTATTTTTTAGAGAATGTGAAAAGATCTTGGGGGCTATTGGTGCTTCATCTGTAAAAGAATTTGAAAGAGCCTCAAGAGCCCCTGTTGTATTTTTTAACAGTGTACAAGCATTACGTTTTTGTTCATTTTGAAAGAATTTGAAAAAATCCCGTATAGTTCCTAATGTGTTTTTTTAGGAAATCTGAAAGAATCTTGGAAGCCTCTTGTGTCGTATTTTTTAAAAAATGTTAAAAGATCTTGGAAGTTACTGGTGTTTTGTCTTTAAAAGAGTTTAAAAGAGCCTTAAGAACTTTAGTGTATGGTTTTAAGAATGTAAAAGCATCATGGGACCTCTTATGTTTTTTAATTTTGAAAAAAAAAGAACAAAATCTCGGGTAGTCCCTGGTATTTTCTGTAGAAAGTTCGAAAAAAATGGCCCCGCCCACCCACCCGGTTTTCTTTCTAATCACCCATTTTATTGGATTAAAGTGGATTTTCAATCGATAAACAGTGGAATTTTGAATTTTATTGGCTTATTTTAAGTACTCTGAGATCAAAATTCAATTTTATTTCCAAGTGGTAGAATCTACACTTCAAAAAATTCAAAGTAGCCCCGCCCACCCACCCGGTTTCCATTCTGATCGATCATTTTATTGGAAAAAAGTTGGTTGTTTTTAGTTATATTGATAAAAAATAGTGGAATTTTGACAAAAATGTAAAATTAACCCCACCCAATTCTGCTTTTGAATTTCATTGGCTTATTTTATTTACTCTTAGACGAAGACCAAATTCTACTCTGTCGAGTAGGCGAAAAAAACATTCAAATTGGGACGCCTTATGTTTTTATTAATTTTGAAATAATTTGAAAAAATTCGTAGTGATTTCTGGTACCATTTTAAAAAAGTTTGAAAAAATCTTAGAAACCTCGTGTTGCATTTTTTAAAGAATATTAGAAGACATTTGGATCGTTTTATGTTTTATTAATTCTGAAAAAAATTGAAAAAATCTCGGGTCGTCTTTGGTATTTTTTTATAAAATTTGAAATAATCTTAGGTGTTCTTAGTGTTTTCTTTTTTTTAGAATGTGAAAAGACCTCGGGGGCTACTGATGTTTTATCTTTGAAAGCGATCAAATCCTCAGGATCCCCAATATATTTTTTTAAGAATGTAAAAGCACCTTGCGACTATTTATCTTTTATTAATTTTGAAAGAATTTGAAAAAATCCCGTATAGTCCCTGATGTTGTTTTTTTTTTTTAGGAAATTTGAAAGAATCTTGGAAGCCTCGTGTTGTATTTTTTAAAGAAATTAAAATATCTTAAGGGTTACTGGTGTTTTGTCTTTAAAAGAATTTAAAAGAGCCTTAAGAACCTTAGTGTACGGTTTTAAGAATGTAAAAGCATCATGGGACCTCTTATGTTTTTTAATTTTGAAAAAAAAAAGAACAAAATCTCGAGTAGTCCCTGGTATTTTTTGTAGAAAGTTCGAAAAAAAATGGCCCCGCCCACCCACCCGGTTTTCTTTCTAATCACCCATTTTATTGGATTAAAATGGATTTTCAATCGATAAGCAGTGGAATTTTGAATTTTATTGGCTTATTTTAAGTACTCTGAGATCAAAATTGAATTCTATTGTCAAGTGGTAGAATCTACACTTGAAAAAGATCAAAGTAGCCCCGCCCACCACCCGGTTTTCATTCCGATCGATCATTTTATTGGAAAAAAGTTGGTTGTTTTTAGATATATTGATAAATAGTGGAATCTTGACAAAAATGTAAAATTAACCCCACCCACTTCTGCTTTTGAATTTCATTGGCTTATTTTATTTACTCTGAGATGAAGATTGAAATCTACTTTGTCGAATGAACGAAAAAAAAATTCAAATTTGGACTTCTTATGTTTTTATTAATTTTGAAATTATTTGAATAAATTCGTAGTAGGTACTTTTTAAAAAAAATTTGAAAAAATCTTGGAAACCTCGTGTTGCATTTTTTAAAGAATATTAGAAGACATGGTGGGATCGTTTTATGTTTTATTAATGCTGAAAAAAATTGAAAAAATCTCAGGTCGTCTTTGGTATTTTTTTTATAAAATTTGAAAGAATCTTAGGTGTTCTTAGTGTTTTCTTTTTTTTTAGAATGTGAAAAGATCTCGGGGGCTACTGGTGATTTATCTTTAAAAGAGATCAAATCCTCAGGAGCCCCAATATATTTTTTTAAGAATGTAAAAGCATATTGGGACCTCTTATGTTTTTTAATTTTGAAAAAAAAAGAAAAAATCTCGGGTAGTCCCTGGTATTTTTTGTCGAAAGTTGGAAAAAAAATGGCCCCACCCACCCACCCGGTTTTCTTTCTAATCAGAATCACTCATTTTATTGGAAAAAAGTTGGTTGTTTTTAGGTTTATTAATAAAAAGTGGAATCTTGACAAAAATGTAAAATTAACCCCACCCACTTCGGCTTTTGAATTTCATTGGCTTATTTTATTTAGTCTTAGATGAAGACTGAATTCTACTCTGTCGAATGGACGAAAAAAAAATTCAAATTGGGACGCCTTATGTTTTTATTAATTTTAAAATAATTTGAAAAAATTCGTAGTGGTCTCTGGTACTTATTTAAAAAAGTTTGGACAAATCTCGGAAGCCTCGTGTTGTATTTTTTAAAGAATATTAGAAGATCTTGTAGTGACTGCATTAGTGTACTAGCCCCGCCCACCCACCCTTATTTTTTTTGAGGTTCTATCATCTGCCAAAATCAGTTTTGTTTTGCTAACCTGTGCTGTTTTCATTCTAACGATTTTACTTCTGTTCACTATAAGATCCACCTTTCATTCATACCAGATAAAATAAATCACTGAAACGGAGGCGGGGTGGGTGGGCGGGGCTAATTATATTCTTTTTTCAAAGGGGAGTGGAAACTAATAGAATCTAGGATAAGGAAAACCTAAAAAAGCGCTAATCGTAATTTTTTTCCATAAAAAAGGAAAAGTAATTTCTTGTATAAAAATTTATTTTATATTTCAAGCAAGCAATTTAACATTTCACCCCATTTTTAAGATTATTTTTTAAAAAGTTGTGGATTTCTAAAGATTTTGACCATGATTTCGGCGGATCCATATAGAAACTGCTGACTTTGAGATTTGAACTTTCCTCGCCCCTAAAGTGCAGCCCAATGAATCCAGCTTCTTCGAAAAATTATAAACTATGAAATGAAGATGAATATGAAACCTCTGTGTCGTAAATCGAGAAATCAATAAATTAAAATATCGAAAAAGTGAAAAATCAAGAAACGACAAATCGAAAACTTAAAAATAGAAAAATTGGAAAATCGGATACCACAAGTCAAAAACTAATACTTACATTTGACTCTAATAACTAATAAAATAAGATAGTTTACTTGATAACAAAAAATTATCTTTTCTTTTTGACAAGTCTGAAGGTCAAACTTAAATTACTTGAATGACTGATAAATTGATAAACGGCATTGTTGCTGTGTGACTATTAAAAAAAAACACACAATGCAGCTAGAAATCTAAGATCTTAATAAAATTCCAAAATATTTTATTCAGATTTGTACTTTTAAGCAAAAAACTTTTATTAACGTAGTTTTCATTGTTCGTCAGTAATTGTTTTAAGTATCTTATCAACGCTATTTTAGTGCAAAAGACGATAACGTTAATGACAAACGGTGCGCACTTGGTATTTAAAAACAATACTTAACCCATAAATAGTACAAAAGTTACTGCACATGCAATGAAAAACCAACGGAAAAACGAGTAAGTAAATTATTTATTGTTGTTTAAAACTGAACTGTCTCCTTAAATTACAAAAAAAAAAACAAAACATTGTCTCGGAATTGAAGTTCAAAAAAAAAAGTAACAGACAAGGTCCCACCGAGATTTGAACTCGGATCGCTGGATTCAGAGTCCAGAGTGCTAACCATTACACCATGGGACCTGCTTGTTAGCACCGGTTACCAATCGTGTGAAAAACCCACACCCCACTAACCTCTCCCAAAAACATGTTTTCTCCCGAAACCGCCTCCACCGCCCAATTCTTCCATGACAAACCCGCTACAAATCATTTCCGACCTTTGCCAAACACAACAACCTGCCTACGCGTCATAAGTCACGTTCCCTGTCAATTCTACCTTGTTTACAAAACTCCGTAAAAGGTTATGATCCGAAATTGACAGTTCGTGGTTCGGTTTGACATAGGGCAAAGGTGCGAACGAAACATGATCCGATAATCCCTTAAGACCTATGATCAAAGCCGGAACTGCGTGAAATGACCTTAAACTGTTCATTCCACTCGTTACATAAATCTCTTGAAACATTCGCACCTCTACTCTGAAATTCCAAAATCATGACCAGGTTCTACGAACACACCACGATTTTTAACTATACTTGGGACCAAGTAGCGCAGGGATTCTGGAAGAGATACCCCAACCCGAACAGGTAACTGTGCGGTGCTCCCGAACGCTCCTGTAAGGTTAGCTTTGCAGCAAACACGTCCTGTCTGAAGACACAGTGTGTCGGAATGTGCGTTCAGGCCGCTTGTTTTCGACGAGGCTCCTCAGCAAAACTAACCCGATACCGAAGTGGGCGGAAAGGTTCATAACCTCGAAGCACGTCCACATCATCGAGGAGTCGATAGTCGACCCAGTGAACAAAGTATTAATTACGTACACGAGGAATCTTGGCTACACGAAAGTCATGGTAAGTGTTGGGGTTGATAAGTGGCTGGTTTGTCACTTGGTTTGTAGAGTGTGACCGAGAAAGTGGTCTACCGACAAAGCGACGAGCAGCCTGGGAAAACCGTGGCGGTGCGATCGGCGTGGATTGACTCTCAGATCAGAGGCTTCAGCAGAGCGATCTGTGCCTTCGGGTACGAAAGGTTTAAGAAAAACTGCAATAAAATGGTGAGACTTTATTTTTAATGGTATGATTGTTGGTATAATTGTTCTAGGTGGGCGGATTTAATTACGTCCTAGCTAACATGTTCCCCCTGCAGAGCACCGTCACAACGACACATGCCACAATAACGGCCACCAGTAAATTGAAAGATGCAGCGATAAATGCGTCCGAACTCGCCAAGTCAAAAGCGGTTCCCATATATGCGTCCCTGCATCCTAATCAATCCTAATACGTACTAATTAAATAATTAAAAAAAAACTGGTCACGTTACTTGTTCACTTTAAACTACTAAGATTCACTCGCTAAAGTATTCCATCGTTTAATTATAAATTAATTTCGATTTTTGATACTTTTTTATTCAAAAAAAAAAAACATGTATAGTGTAATTAACTTAAGCGAAATTTATTATGGATGTACATATGACTACCAGTTGAAAGTTGTTTGTGTGTAGGATGTTCATGGAAGGTGTAATTATTTTTAGACTCGCGTTACGTACTATGAGGTACTGAGTATTGTACGAGTTGTAATTAAAAACTAATAAACATTCGGCAGAAGCAAAATTTATTGGGTTAGATATGTAAACAGACGCTGGAAAAATCGTAACACCGGGTGAGTTGATGAAAAATGGTCAAAGTTTTGGTTTTGGGGCTCTGCACACTCAATGTGTCCCATGCGCATGGTTTTCTCGTGAGACTGGGATAGGGCTGGGGGACACTTTTCATATTTTCCGTCCTCGAGTACTGCAAACAAAGTGAATCAGAGTTGACTACGACTTCAAAGTTGGCTATTCTGGTCCATGAATGTCATTTATAAGTTATTTTAAGGTTAAGGTTTAACTTACCTACTTTTCCCAAACATACTTGTCTCTTGAGCTGGCAAAGGTTCATGAAGCGTTTACCTGAAGCGCAAACCGGGTTATAGTCGTTGGAGTCGCAAACAGGACAATTAGAAGCAGCTGCCGACGCCACCAACACAACTAAAAACATAAACTTAGCCCGAAAAACACCCTCGCGTGTTCCCCATACCCAAACCAATTAAAAAAGCGTAAATCATTTTTATCAAATACCGTGGTTTTACCTGTGAAGCTAACAAAGTAAGTACACACACTGGTGATTGATCCAAACAGGTCAATTTTATGCTACACTAGTCACAATTGTCTACAGAATTTATTCATTAAGGTGGGTTAAAAAAGTTACACTAATTTAATTTTAATGCGGTGGTAGGCGTTGCTCAAGACCCCGCGGAGGTTCCAGATGTTTTTAAATGTTTCTGGCTGGGTGTTATAGCAAGAGTCCACGGCTTTGGCCCACAACTCAACCTACAAAATACAAGCAGAAATTTTAGTGGCTTTACAAAAAAATGATCCAATTTTTCTCAGCGACAAAAAATTAGAAAAAACCAAACAATGAGGCTTCATGTTGCGATTGATTCGGCTGTGCGACAAAAATATAAAAAAGGAACAATGAGGCATTATCAGTTCGTAAAACTATTAATAAAAACGTGTCAAATAATAATAAATCTTATTTATTCCCGCGAACGCATCCGCATTTTTTGCTCATTGTATGTTTTATATTGGCCATAAAGAGTAGGTACCTGTTTAGTTCCTGATGGGATTGGGATTCGTGCCGACCACAAAGTCCAACTCCAGTGCTGGGGCGGCTCGGCGGAGTCTTGGTGGTCTAGGTTGGCCACAAACCACGTGCTTCCGCCGTCGGCTGTCACGTCAACTCGAGCTATTTTCTGGCCGCCCCCGGACCAGGCATAACCTTCACAAAAAAAAGGCGTCAAAGTGGAACGTTCTTCTTATTTTTTAATTAAATAATGGTATATTTTGATTTTAATAAAGACATTATTATTTAAATAAATTGTCACACTTTTTTGGTTGATTGAACTATTTTCAGGGGCTTAGAACATGAAAAAAGCTGCACTTTGATGTATAATAACAATTTTCCAATTTTTAAATGAGATATCCTCTAAGAAAATCGAGGGCGGGTGGGCGGGGCTAGTATTTGTTAACGGAAGACTGATTTTGGTAAACGATTGAACAATATTAAGAGTAATCACTGAAACGGAGAGGAGGTGAGTGGGCAGGGCTATTGTTTGCTTATAAAACTATAGCAAAATTAAACTTAGCCCCACCCGCCCACCCGTTCTCCCATTTTTTTTTTCTGAAATAAGAAATAATCTTAAAGCATAGCAAATAGTATAACAAAAAATTACGAGTAGCACTTTCCTGCCTATTTCTAACAGCCTACGTTCTATTAGTTTCCATTCCCACTCTACAAAAGAACATCTAATTAACCCCGCCCACATTTCAGTGATTAAGTTTATTTAGTCCGAATGAAAGGTAGATCTCATACTGAACAGAAATAAAATCGTTAGAATGCGAACTGTGCGAGTGGGCGGGGCTAGTACTTGCTAGGATAGGGCTGATTTTGATAAATGATATACCCCAAGAAAATAAAGAGTGGATGGGCGGGGCTTAAACTTGCTAAGATAAGACCCAATAATATTAAGAGTAGTCATTAGAATGAAGAGGAGGTGAATGGGCGGGGCCACTGAATTTTTTAATTTGTAATTTCACGACTTTTCAATTTTTTTATTTTTAAATTTTCCATTTCTTCAAATTTTCAATTTGCAATTTTTAGTTTCGGTTTTTTATTTTCCTTATTTTTTCAATTTTTCGGGGTTTCAATGTTCTGATTTTATAATTTTTCTTTTTTTAATGTGAAATTTTTCAGTTTTCAGATTTTTGAATCACTGGAATGGAGAGGGGGTGAGTGGGCAGGGCTATTGTTTGCTTATAAAAGACTCTATAGGAAAAGTAAAACTTAGCCCCGCCCACCCACCCATTCTGTTTTTTTTTTCTTAAATAAGAATTAATCTTATAACATATAGTATAACAAAAAATTAAGATGAACACTTTTTTGTCTTTTTTAACAGCCTACGTTTTATTAGTTTTCATTCCCACTCTACAAAAGAACATATAATTAACATACCCTAAGAAAATAAAGGGTGGGTGGGCGGGGCTAGTACTTGCTAAGATAAGACTGATTTCGGCATATTATATACCTTCCAAGAAAATAAAGGGTGCGTGGGTGGGGCTAATACTTGCTAAAATGCTAAAATTACTAAGATCCAACAATATTAAGAGTGGTGATTAGAATGAATAGGGCGTGAGTGGGCGGGGCTACTGCTTGGAATTTTTCAATTTGCAATTTTTTGTTTGGGTTTTTTATTTTCCTTATTTTTTCAATTTTTCGGGGTTTCAATGTTCTGATTTTATAATTTTTCTTCTTTTAATGTGAAATTTTTCAGTTTTTAGATTTTTTAATCACTGGAATGAAGAGGGGGTGAGTGGGCAGGGCTATTGTTTGCTTATAAAAGACTCTATAGGAAAAGTTAAACTTAGCCCCGCCCACCCACCCGTTCTGTTTTTTTTTTTCTTAAATAAGAATTAATCTTATAGCATATAGTATAACAAAAAAATTAAGATTAACACTTTTTTGTCTTTTTTAACAGCCTACGTTTTATTAGTTTTCATTTCCACTCTACAAAAGAACATAATTAACATACCCTTAGAAAATAAAGGGTGGGTGGGCGGGGCTAGTACTTGCTAAGATAAGACTGATTTCGGCATATTATATACCTTCCAAGAAAATAAAGGGTGGGTGGGCGGGGCTAATACTTGCTAAAATGCTAAAATTACTAAGATCCAACAATATTAAGAGTGGTCATTAGAATGAAGAGGGCATGAGTGGGCGGGGCGTACTGCTTGGAATTTTTCAATTTGCAATTTTTTGTCTCGGTTTTTTATTTTACTTATTTTTTTCAATTTTTCGCGGTTTCAATGTTCCGATTTTATAATTTTCCTTTTTTTTAATGTGAAATTTTTCAGTTTTTAGATTTTTGAATTTTTCATATTGAGTTTCTCGAGTTTTCAGGTTTTCGTTTCGATTTTTATTTTCTTAATTTTTCAGTTATTCTATTTTATCATTTTTGTTTCTTCAATTTTAATGTTTGCAGTTTTCCTTTTTTCGTTTTTTCGCTAGTATTTGTTAAGATAAGACTGATTTTCGTAAATAACTGAACAATATTAAAAGTAATCACTGGAATGGAGAGGGGGTAAGTGGGCAGGGCTATTATTTGCTTATAAAAGACTCTATAGGAAATAGTTAAACTTAGCCCCGCCCACCCACCCATTCTGTTTTTTTTTTTTCTGAAATAAGAAATAATCTTATAGCATATAGTACAACAAAAAATTAAGATTAACACTTTTTTGTCTTTTTTAACAGCCTACGTTTTATTAGTTTCCATTCCCACTCTACAAAAGAACATATAATTAACCCCACCCACCCACCCGGCCTCTATTTCAGTGATTCATTTTATCTAGTCAGAATGAAAGGGGATCTTATACTCACTAGAAATAAAATCGTTAGAATGAGAACAGCGCGGGTGGGCGGAGCTAGCACCTGCTAAGGTAGAACTGATTTTGGTAAATGACATACCCTAAGAAAATAAAGGGTGGGTGGGCGGGGCTAGTATTTGCTAAAATAAGACTGATCGTAGCAAATGACATACCTTCTAAGAAAATAAAGAGTGGATGGGCGGGGCTTAAACTTGCTAAGATAAGACCCAATAATATTAAGAGTAGTCATTAGAATGAAGAGGGGGTGAGTGGGCGGGGCCACTCCTTGGAATTTTTCAATTTGTAATTTCACGACTTTTCAATTTTTTGATTTTTAAATTTTCCATTTCTTTAAATTTTCGATTTGCAATTTTTAGTTTCGGTTTTTTATTTTCCTTATTTTTTCAAATTTTCAGGATTTCAATGTTCTGATTTTATAATTTTTCTTTTTTTAATGTGAAATTTTTCAGTTTTCAGATTTTTGAATCACTGGAATGGAGAGGGGGTGAGTGGGCAGGGCTATTGTTTGCTTATAAAAGACTCTATAGGAAAAGTTAAACTTAGCCCCGCCCACCCACCCGTTCTGCTTTTTTTCTTAAATAAGAATTAATCTTATAACATATAGTATAACAAAAAATTAAGATTAACACTTTTTTGTCTTTTTTAACAGCCTACGTTTTATTAGTTTCCATTCCCACTCTACAAAAGAACATATAATTAACATACCCCAAGAAAATAAAGGGTGGGTGGGTGGGGCTAATACTTGCTAAAATGCTAAAATTACTAAGATCCAACAATATTAAGAGTGGTCATTAGAATGAATAGGGCGTGAGTGGGCGGGGCTACTGCTTGGAATTTTTCAATTTGCAATTTTTTGTTTCGGTTTCGCCATTCCCACTCTACAAAAGAACATGTAATTAACCCCGCCCACCCACCCCGTCTCGATTTCAGTAATTAATTTCATCTAGTCACAATGAAAGGTGGATCTTATACTCACCAGAAATAAAATCGTTAGAATGAAGAGGAGTTGAGTGGGCGGGACTACTGGTTTTTCGATTTCCAATTTCACGAGTTTTTAATTTTTCGATTTTTAAATTTTCCAGTTCTTCAAAGTTTCGATTTGCTATTTTTTGTTTCGGTTTTTTATTTTCCAATTTTTTGGGTTTTCAATGTTTTGATTTTATAATTTTTCTTTTTTCAATGTGAAATTTTTCAGTTTTTAGATTTTTTAATTTCTCGAATTTTCAGTTTTTCGTTTCGGGTTTAATTTTCTTAATTTATTCAATTATTCGATTTATATTTATTCCATGATGTTTAACAACAAAAAAAGAAGAAAAACCTGAAGGCAGTGGCCCTTTTTTTACATTTTTCTGTTACTTTATTTTTCAGTTTTTCAATTTTCCCACTTTTGAATTTTTCAATTTTTAGATTTTGAATTTTTAGTATTGAATTTCCCGATGTTTCAATTTTTCGCTTCAATTTATTACATACTTATTTTTCAATTTTTCGGTTTTATTATTTTTTTGTTGTTTCAGTTTTTCCTTTCTTTTTTCGATTTAAAATTTCTCGAGTTTTCTATTTTTTCAGGTCACGTCAGGTCAGTACTTGCTAAGATAAGACTAATTATGAACATCGAACAATATTAAGAGTAATCACTGAAATGGAGAGGGGGTGAGCGAGCAGGGCTATTGTTTACTTATAAAAGACTCTATAGGAAAAAATTTAACTTAGCCCCGCCCACCCACCCGTTCTCCAGAATCAAAGGAGATGTATGAGAAATTAATGGGATTTGCGGAAAGTGCGTTTAAAAAAAGGAGAAGGATGAGAGAGGGTGTGACGGACCGAGGTATGGAAATACTGTAAAATAAATTGAATGTGTGTGTGTACAAAAGAACATATTTATAATTAACTCCACCCACCCACCCCGCCTCTATTTCAATTATTCATTTCATATGTGATCGTTTTCCGGGTCGGGACCGTGGCAATTGCGATTTTGCACTCAACGTTTCGCACACTTTCGTAAGTGGCATCTTCAGGAGCAGGCTTAAGAAATTAGGAATATTCCTAACTCTAATTAACACGATCCCAACCCGGAAAACGATCATGTATTGACTCCGACCGTGGAAGCCTCCGAAATTATATTCATTTTATCTCGTCAGAATGAAATATGAATCTTATACTCAGTAGATACGAGAGTTTCTCCAGTTTTCAGTTTTTCTTTTCGGTTTTTTAATTTCTTAATTTTTTCAATTAGTCGATTTTATCACTTTTGTTTCTTCAATTTTAATTTTTACAATTTTTTCTTTTTTCATTTTTCTGATTTAAAATTTCCCAAGTTTTCAATTTTTTTTTTTCAAG